CATATTTCATTTATTTATTTGGATGCGTATATACAAAATGCAGTATTAGATTTTCATAATTAAAAAAATAACTCAATATACAATGACAAGCTTATAACAACCACGATATTGTCTAAAATATAAAAGTATGAATTTAATTTCAAACATTTTTTTAACAAACTATAGAAGATTATACAACAAAGAATATTTTTGGTATCAAAAAATAACAATTTTAAATAGTTTTMTAAAATACTTAAATAAATTAAATCATAAATTATACATAATTTAAATTTCCATATTATATGTTGTATGTATTCATCTAATTTATAYACCGTAATGATGTTAAGTTTAACAATTKTTTAGTAAGAATCTATAGCTTGAATAGAAACCCAAGTGCGGATCTTCAAATTAACTTTATTAAAGCATATGTAACAACATATGTATAATACTTATACATGTATGTACACAATAATACATATTATATTTTTTTTTWATCACMTTATATTTTCTGCGTATCAACTACCAAGAACTCATATTATTACAAACCTATTACATGCTGAATTATTCAGAATATCAACATCTAGTAAGTACCAGATGAACTCTATGACCTATTCTTTGTTAACAATCTCATAGTAATCGGTAATTTTACGAACATTCGTGTTATAATTAATATACATGTATACACATTTTCAGTAACTATACTAATGGTATAACAAAAACTACGCTTCATATAATTCATCGATACAAAAACAAAKCTAATTTTCGGGCATAATATACATATACAGACATTTTAAATTAATATCATGATTCATGGCGCATAATATTATACAATCGATGGCATATTTTACTTCTACCATTAATAAAATATGTATTTATTAGTAATTTAATAAGTTTTTAATATTTTTTTCACAAATTATCAATACGTAAATATTTTTATGTTGCATCCTTGTCTATGTCTTAATCTATAAGAATGTTTCATCTATTATAAGTACCTACCGTGATTTAGGCTCACTCACACGTTCACCAACATCCTTATCAGAARAACATCATAGGTATTATGATTGTAATTACTTTATTTAAATACCATAGCCTCAAATCATTTTAATCGGTTACATAGCTTAAGTTTCCTTAGATATTTCTAATTTCCTTGGAATTTATCCTACAAATTTCGAAATGTTGAACTGGGTAAAACTATAATTTAGCTAAGGGGACGCCACATTCGCATGTGCTGTATCCATCTTACAAACGTACCTACAGCATAGCAAACACTATTGCGAAGGATAAGACTTAAGTTAGATAGATTTAAGCTATAGTCTAAGCTAARCAACCACATTTCACATTATAACAAAGAGAACATTTACTGTGCAACATTGTTTTTATTTTTTTAACATCACAAATAAGCGAAAAAAGTTATTTAAGATTGAAATAATTAATTTTTTAAGTATGAKAACTTTTTTTGGCATTTGTGATATTGAAAAAATAAAAACGATGCCACACAGTAAATATTCTCTTCTTTATAGTATGAAAATTAGGTTGCTTTGTATGGACTATAGTCTGAGTGGTTCTATTCCACGCAAAACAGTTTTTGCTATGTTGCACAATTGTAAGATGGAGATAACACATACTGCAGGTGTAGCGTGTAGCATAGAGTATTAATCTATGGGATGTAGCGTCCTCTTAAGTACGTATAGGTATAATCAGGGTATTGGATAGTAGTTAGGTTAGGTTTCTTAGATGTTCAAGGTTACGATGGATGTGGATTAATAACTCAATATTGTTAATTATTATTAAGTCATTATATATAGATATAAAGTATACCARCACAGTTTCACATATTTAAATACTAAAGTATAATGCAGTTTATAATGCTTAATGTTTAACCTGGCTAAAATTAAATTAACTTGGCGTTAGTTAAAAAATAATGAAATTCACTAAAACATACTCTACATTATCCTTAAAATAATTACATAATTTTGGTGACTTCTAATGAATAAACAAAGCATAAGTACCTACATGTCTTTTGATTTAAAAATTAATATTATACTATATTATGAAATGAAACGCCTGTATAAAATTAGTGATATAATAGGTTGTTTTATTT